TTGTCATCGCGAGTTTCATTACTCCGCAATTTCGGGAAGCGGCGAGGCACAACACGACTCGGACACTTCCCCAGGGGTACGTGTGGTGGTCTGCTGTACAACAGATCATTCTCACCCTCGAAAGTGTGCTGCGGTGGCCAAAGAAAAGTTGCCTACTCCGACGGCATGACAGCGCAACTGGAATACCTCCAGCTGCACGATACCTACGTAGCCCGCGAGAAATGCCCTTGCCAAGTGTCGCTCACGCACGTCCCTCGAGAAAACGTGAGCACCCCAAACGCACACTGCCCCCGAAATGGTCTCTCCCTTCCCCAAGGTCGAACGCTGTGGAGCGCTCTGTCTTAACAATTCGTGCTTGCTTTACACACGTTGAGGATGCAACGCCTGCATCAGGCAACGACGCAGCGGGGCGATGACGCAAGAGATGCTTGTGACAAAGGAACGTGTTGTGCACACGTGTGTGCTCATCCGTGCTGAGTGGTTTGCGGGCCCCTGGCGCCGGGGGGTCGGGTGCGAGTGAGATCGGTGGCACGGTCGACGTCCCGCAGCTGGAATGCTTTGTCGAGAAGGGCTTGCACGTTGGTGGTGGGTTTCGACTGCAAGGCCGTCAGGCACGTGCCAAAGTCGGCGTGGCGGTCGATCAGCGCACGTCGGTGGGACAGAATCAGCGCCACACACACATAATGAAGCAATGCAAATCGCTTCGAGTCGGCCAGTAGTGCATCCCACAGCCGCAGCGTCTCGTCCATCTCGAACTCATGCGACAAAAGCGTGATGTACCACCGAAAGCTGTAGTAGTCGGGGAGGACGCCGAGCGAGTTCTACGCACACAGTGCAATGAAGCACGACCGAATCGAGGGGAGTCATGGGTCATGGCCGCACCAGGTGGAGCCACAGGCTCGCGTCGTGCTGCCGGAGCAAGGTATGCAGTCGTGCCATTTGAACTTGGGCCCCTGTTCGAGGGGGCTGTTGCTTGGATGCGAGGTGCAACGGCGCCAGGAGCTGCATGAGGGTCTCAAACCCGGCAAATGAGTCCGCTTCGGCGTGAAGCGACCACAATGCGTCCTTGTCCGTGCCAAACACAAACAGAACGGGGGCCAACACTTCGTGCATGCCTTGGCAGTACCCAATCTCTGCGTGGGTCTTTGCAAACAGGTAGAGAATGCGCACCATCCAGTCGCGGGCCATCCCATGGACCGAGAAGAACGGCAGGTCGACCTGGGTGCGTGCCACGTCCTGCGCCATGACCATGAGGTGCGCGGCGCTCGAACAAAGGTTACCTTTTCAATCTCGTGGAGAAGGGTTTCGTCCGCCTTGGCCAAGTTGCGCTGGCGGGTGATGACGTTCAAGTTGTCGTCCAAGTTCGTGTCGTAAAACGGACTGAGCTCGCGAACGAGATGCGCATAGCTTGTGCGGTTGGTGTACAGCTCGGTCGCCCACTCGGACGGATGCGGCCCCACGACATGCAGCAGCACGCGCCACACTATCGGTCGATCCAATGGGTCGACACCTCCAAGAATTGCAGCTCGAAGCGCGTCCAGGTCGACCTGATTGGCAACATCCAGGCGGAGCGGTGTCGATGCACGAGCTTTTGTGCAGTGCGCGGTCGAAGCAGGGTCCGCGCGATCGCGCTCGGGGCGAAACACCGCGTCGGCCACGATGTTCATGCTTGCGCCAGCCACAAGCACGGCAATGTGAGCACGTCAACCGACAAGTGAAACGACCAACGGAACGACCGAGTAACGCGTTCCAGTTGGGGTCGTCAAAAGACTCGGCAGCTCTTGGCCCGACGGACCTCGGAGTCTGCATCGGACTCGGCCGGCAGCGTCACAAAACCCAATCTTGCCGATCCCACATCGGACTCCGTTCAAGGCAGTCGACAGGCGTGGCCATTGCGCTGCGTCAGCACTATGGATGTTTGGAAAGCAGCGCCCATCAACCTGCGTTGACCATCCGTGAACGGAATGCGTGGACGACTGTTCATGCGCTAGTTTCCATGTGTGCGGCGCATGCAATGAACGAGAGCGCGGGATGTACACTGTCCATCCTCGTACCCCGTCCGAGTACAACAAGGCTGGCGCCACAGCGGCGCAAGGACGTGCGGGGAAGTCGTGGGCAGCGTGCGTAACCTCTTTCCCTGAGCGGGGAGCCGCCCCCATGCATGCACAACACGACCAGCGCAGGCTCGCTGGAGATCCCTTATGGATAGTACGTGACTTATATGTCATCGTCGGCCGAGGGTTGAAAAAAGTGGTGCTCCACGAGATGGCGGAAGGCTTGCAGGATGTGTCGGTGCTCTTTGTCGATGTCTTTTGCCAGGAGCTTGCGCAAGAGGGAGCTCCTGTGCTGTTTGACTTGGGACGCTTGTTCCTTTTGATGTTGCAGCTGCAGCTGCTTGAGTTTGTCCTGCGCCGTCACCGTGTGCGAAAACTTGCACTGGGTGCCCCGCTTACACGATCCCTTGGCCAAGAATTGCTTGCATGGGATGGACTGGTGCACAAAAAATCTCGTCATGGCAGCGGCGCCACATCTCGGTACCTCAATGTCGTGGTTGAACAGGCACTTGTCGCCGTCGTCACATCCATTTCGAATAAACTTGACGCAAAACTTGGAGCTCTTCTTCTTGGACGACGCCGGCTTGGCCCGATGCACTGACCGTGGACTGGCCACTTCGTTGTCTGGCAGCTGCGCCGCGGAAGTTGCCGCGTTCAATTCAGCGGCAGGGCGTTCCTGCTTCAAGGGCATGCATGGTTGAATGCACCGCGCGAGCCTTTGAGACGATGCGTACCGCGGTGCCACTGGTAGCATCAGAGGGGGTTGTGCCGTCGGTGGGGCCCGGCAGGGCTGGCGAGGTTTTGAGCTTCTTGTTGGCCGGGATATCCCCTGCCTGCACTCGTTCGCCCATCTGTTCGTTCTACAGCATCGTGACGACATCTCGTCGAGCCCACTTCGCCAAGGAATACCTTTCGCTTGACATTCGACTCGGACGGCCACTTCTTGCGGCGCTCCTCGCGCCATTTTGTGATCTCTTCCGGCGAGTTGCCCACGAGCACTAGATGGTTGCATCGTCAGCGAGCGTCGTGCAAGTGCTCATGTACCTTGAAACTTCTGCCCCTCGACTTCAATTTCCTTGAGCCCGGAGCCAGCATACTGCCCATGCATGACCTGGTAGTGGCTTGTCACCACGCGCTTGGACGCTGAAAAGTCGCAGCCAGGAGCCTACACACATAACTTGAACAAACTCTCAACGACGACGTCGAGCCCCACCCAGCACTGCTCGTGCGTTAGCATGTGCGCATCGTACTGCGATTTCATCGCAAAGTGCTTTTCACACGGCTCGCACTGCCACTCGGACGGGCGACTGGCCGCCGACGCTTGAGGCTTTGCCGAATTCGGGTGGCTCTGCTTCTTTAGGCAATCGTGGATCCAGTGGCCACCAAGATTGCATTTACGGCAGATGTACGACATTGGTGGAATGGATGGAAGTGGCGGCGCCTGTGGTTGGTACATGAACGGAGGCCCGGCGTTTGGCGGAGGCGGGTAATGGTATGCTGGTGGTGGTGGATTGTAAGGTCCTTGAGGTCGGTCCATCGAGAGCTGCGGCTGGTCAGGGCGATGCGTCGGAGGATGGTACCCTGGAGGAGGAGGTCCACCATGATGTCTGTCGTGGTAGCCTGGGAGTGGAGGTTGCATGTGTGGGTCATGATGTTGGTGGTGGTGATGGAACGGATGGTGCTGTGGGGGTTGCGATGGATAGGCATGACTGTGGTGATGTTGGTGGTAAGGAGCCGGTGGATGGTCATTGGGATGGCGTGGATGGTGTGATGTTGGCGGCTGGTAATACGGCGGTGGATGGGGGTGGTTGCCAGGATGAGGAGGTTGTTGGTTTTGGTGATGACGAGGCGGGGGTTGAGGTGCGTGATGCACTGCGGGCGAGTAATTGGAGCGCTGCGGCGGCGAATATGGTGGCAGTGGTGGCTGCTGCTGTGGACATGGGTACCCGCCGCCTCCAGACGAGGATGGCGGCAGCGGCGGATTCATCGAGTGGCAGTTGCAATCGCTCGAACCAATTTTGACCAATCAAATGCCCGAAGCTGCAATTCACCATTTAAAACCAGCGCCGTTTCCATTGGCGCGCGATCGCATGGACGACGATGGCGTCCGTCGCGAACCCGAGCCGTGCCCGATGACGAGCCCACGTGCATGCCATCGTGCGGATGGCGATGCAGTCTTGTCTCGTCTGCTGGTCTGCGACATCAGGTAAGCTGTGGGCTTCGATAGACAAGCACAGCGCCATCACGATCGAGTCGGTGCTGTCAGCTTTGTGAGCTAGTCGAGGACAGTGCAGACAGCGTTGTTGGGAAGAACCTAGGCCATGCAGCACACGGCGACAGCCACGTCGTTGCGCCTAGCCGCTCGCTCGTCTACGGTTGATTCTATCTCGGTACAGCAACTGCAGCCATCCCGTATAGCGTACACACATAAATTGTTGGAGGCTCGACAAAAACATGGGTCGTGGCAGCAGCTGTCCTGGCGTGAAAAGCTGTGGCAAGATCGACACCCTAGATGAGTCAACACAACTCACGGCCGCCACCTCTCCACCCACGAACGAGCGAGCCTCGCACGCGTTTTCGTACCGCTGCACCCACAGCCCGTTGAAGAACGCGCCCAGCCGGCGCACACATGAGTCAGAATCGTCTGCGTTTTTTTGCAATGCCAATGAGACGACTCGACACCGGGTGATTGGTATGTCACAGCGCCAGGCCCGCGCGCCACCCTCTTCCAGAACGTGGACGCAATGTCGCTGGCTCGGCCGACCCGCTTGGACTCTTCGCCGCCGCCGCCGCGTGCTCCATAAGTTAAACTGCAATTATAGCTTTACACTGCTCTGGGAGTTTGTTGGCCCGGCGTGAAAGTCCTCGGGGGCACCGAGCTCAATGCCGTCCGCCGTGACTTCCTGGGTTTCGTCGGCGAGGATGCGGCCAGCGAGGAGCCGCATGAGCACGTCGTTCAGTGTCGACACCTCCGTCGACGTGTAGTGGAAAGCGCTGCAAGTCGCGACGTCGTTGCTCGACCACGAAAGCAGTACACCGTTCCCGATCAAGTCGTTCAGAGCTAGCCATGGATTAGACTCCACCCTTGCCAGGAGCAAAGGGAGGTTGGGTACCTGCTTTGCACTCCGTGGCGTTCAGCGTGCGCGGTGCGGGTCGTGGACCACGTAGGTAGTAGCGCTCGCACGACGTGGTCATGTCAATCGGGGAGAATTCCACGGGATGCACCTACGACATCCATGGGAAGTTGAGGAGATACGTCCTGGAGCTTGTGTACCTGCAGGAGTTGCTTGAACTTGGCTTCCTGGCAGTAGTTGAACGTAGTCAAGTTCACGTGCGGCAGACTGTTCTGCACGACTCGGCATTGCGCCAGCTTTTCTTCCCATGTGAGGTTGGCCACGATGGAGGAGGCGCGGTACGCCAAAGCTTGCGACGGATCGCATGCTTCCGAGTCTTGCCATGGCTGCAACGAGCAGTCGCGCCAGAGGATGTCCGGGATCGGGGCGTTCGCGCGCAAGATAAAGATAAACATGAAAAAGAGGAACAGCACAGCTGGGACCGAGATCACATACACGAGCGCTCGCGGATTCAACGTGGTCGACCCGTTCTTTGCCGCATATGGCATCGAGTCATGACGACGGAACGACGTTTTTCGCAAGGCGGGACTCGTGTAGTTTGCTCGAAGCATCGGGGACAGTTCATGGTCTTCTTCTGGAATGGGCTGCAGCGTGCCATAGTTTCGCGCGGCCGGCTTCAACGTTGTCGTGGCTGCCCACTGCATGGCGGTGTCGGAAGGTCGGTAGTGTCGAGGTGGGTGCGTCTATCGTGAAAAGGGCGGCGGGGTGGCTCACGTCGATGGATCGTTGCTGGACGGTCGGGGCGGCGGCTCGAGACGGGCAAGCAACAACGCGGTGCTCCAGCGGCGCTTGCGTCACAAGGTACCGATCTTTGAATATGGTGGAATTGCACTCCAAGGTGGGGATCATTTTATTGAAAGGACTGTGTTGTATACAAACCCCAAGTGATCCAGAAAGGTTTCGCATTTTATTGCACCCGGCGGTTGAGATTCCGCGTCGGTCAAACGACCACTGTGGGATTGCAAGTGAGCAATGATTCGGTCCAGCCAATCAGAGCCCGAATCATATGTATTTCAGCCAATCCAATGCGTTCACAACCAGTCCCACGGTCTGGAAAAAGTATGAAATTTCAGAGGGCGGGCGTTGGTGGGTGACGGATTATTGTCCACGAGAGGCAGTCGCTGCCTTGACTCGCCCGGACGCTGCTCGAGAGAGGCCACAACGTTTGCGTCCATGGGTAGCTCCGTACGCGCGCGTTGAATCCAACATGACGCAATCCGATGCGCTCTGTCCCCTTCGATCCAGTTGGAACGGTTCGACGACGAGTACCCACGACGTATGTGGTAGTAAAAGTAGCTGGTGGCTCCACGACGGGGGCCATGCGCCCGCCTGGATACTGTCTGCGACGTCACGTGCGGCGTATTGTGGTGAAGCTCGGACGGGCAATCGGATGGGGGTGCATGTAGCCCTCGTCGCTCCAGCTCATGGGGGGGGCATCGCATCCCAGACCACCACGACCTCGTCGGCGTCTCGACTCATGCATGCACGGCCCGACACACCCAGGCACGTCAAGGTCCCCTGTAGTGGCGTGGCTGGAGCTCGCCGCACCCATCGCTTTTCCCAGTGCGTCCGAAGTCTAGTACGGGCCACTTTGGCGCATCCCATTGGGTCGCACGGGACGCACGTCATGCACATGACCCAAGATCTCGGGCGACGGTACTTGGAATGTTTGAGTCAAGTTGTTTCTTTGGACTCGTTTCGAAACTTTGGTCGGCCGCCACGCCGTGGTACAACACACAAGCCTGTCGTTGCGCCTTGGCCACAAGAACGTCCATCTCGGTTCATCGGTTCTGCGGGCAATCGAGCCAACATCTCGCGAGCTTTAGCAGGACGCAGCAGATAATGCTTGTGCGCATGGACGGGCAAACGACTCCAGCAGCCTCAAAACAAGTGCGAGTCGGGTCGATCGATTGCCACGGAAAGGAGGTTGTCATCGCTTGCGCAAACGAATCGACCCGTGCGTTCGAGGAAATCTGAAACCGACGGAATCTCGAAACCGCCACCGCGAACGAACCGTCGCGGAAGGAGTAACCGACGCCGTCCCGAATCGAACGGTCGAGAGGTGTCCATCGTGTTGGTGGCACTTGAGTACAAGAATGACATCACTCTGAAAGCTCAAAGCCGTCATGCTGTCGTCTCTAACAGGCACGATCTCCTCCAGAAGGGTATGCGAGGTGCGTCTCGATCGAACAGATCTTCAGGGCTCGAAGCCTCAGCGTTTGTAAATTATACGCAGTGCGCAAAGGTCCCCGCTGGTGACAGCGCACATGTCGAGGCCGTCGTGGTCGTGGCAATACTGTGAGGAGCAGTCGTAGCCTCCTGCTGAGACGGACAGAACGAAGATTTTGAATTACGTCGACAGATTCGTTCTAGAGCGATGAGAATCGCACCTTTGGAAGGCATATACGAGATCACCGCGATGGCGATATCGTCATATGACCGTCGTGGACGATGTTGCCCGTAAAGTGCGACGACTTCTCGCCATCACTATGGATTCTGCTTGGGCCCTTTCAAAACACACCCGCTGACGCTTTCGACTCGATGGCATGTCCCTGGTTTCTCCATCCGAATGATTTGCCCCTAACAATGCACTCGCCTGTGCAGCCATCTCCCCATCCCAGTCTACTTTCGTCTTGCCTATTGCATCCGTCATCAATGCCCACAAGATCGGCTCGTCAAAATGCCGCCATGTCCACGCGTCAAGTACGACGATGATGACACCCCGAGTTGTCCACCACCTGGTGGAGCTCGTGTCATTAGCTTGACATGGTGGTGGGGCGTTGCACAATCCTCCACCTATCCATTGTGTACATGCCATTGCCAGCGGCACCGCTCCGTGGCAACACGGCGTCCCTGGCATCGTTGCTTGACGATGTCGACTATCTTACACGACATGCCCTCCACCGCCGAGCACACACCTTTCACAAGTCGTCGAGCTACTGAGGCATCGTATGGTGCCAGTCACTTACAGTGGCGGGCGTCATCGAGGGGACTTTTACTCCTTCGTGTGTAAAAAATATGCTACGATAGACTTGGAATACGTCAAACGAATCTGCATCGCGCGCTGGTTCGAACCGTGCAATCAAATGATCCTGAAACACAATAC